TCAGTAATACTGATGAAATATGCATTTACTGTCTATTGTTTTATCTATGGATGTCAACTTTATCTATGGCTGATTTTATTTTGTTATTTTATCTGTAGTCTGGAAATATACATTAAATTACGCTCCGTCTTTTATTTAATGTTTCCCTAGGGTTAGTCCAAAAATTCTCATCCATCTTACAAGCCGCTTTGGCGCTGATTCTCAGCGCAAGCCGGTAAGACAAGTTCCATGATCAATGTTAAACCATTTATTTCAATTAATCCTTAATTAGACACTTTTAAACATCAAATTATAATTGTTATGGATTTCGAAATTGGAAATTGTCTGTCAATGAAGCTAAGCGCAACGAGCACCAAGGTATAGTTTCGAATGGAGAAAGAAAAATGAGCAAGAAACTCCATCGTTTCATCAATCTCTCAATAGGCGGCGTGACGAATGCACGTCACGAGTCCTACATCTCGCTAGTGAAGTTTGCGCGTGATTTAGCTAGTGTTAACTAATATAAATTCCCAAAATAAACTGTTGGGCCGTCGCCCTAGACTTTCCAAGACATGCTCAAACATGCTCACCTAGCCTGGTTAAAGAATCCTCCCTTTATCAAACTTGGGGAACATTACATTCTGTTCCTTAACTTTTGAACATCAAGCCTTTACACTATTTACACGTTGAAGGCCCTTGTTATGGTACGACAGGTGTTCTACCACGACCTCTCAAGATAACCGGTGTGAAGCACCGCTTGCGTAGTGTTTCACCAGATAAGTTCCGAGTCATCGGAGTCTTGCTTTGTTCGATTGAGGAATTGAATCTTGAGTTGCATCTTAGTTCATCCTTCACAATGGATAGATACAAACCTGACAACTGTTCGTCGACGTAGCGTATCCCTGTACTTACCGCTTCGTCTCTTGTCCCTCGATCTATAGAAAAGTCGCGTGTGACGACGTAACGGCATAATAGAGTATGAAAAAAAAAATTGGAAAAACGACGCTGCGACGACGTAACGCAACATCTACGTATGGTTGCGGACGCAGGGTCTTAGAGCTAGACCCCATTTGTCAACGTATAAATGGGGCTTCCCTAAGTGCTACTTGTAACCAATGAATTAATTTGTATTTAATTCTCTAATATTGATGTAGAAATAAGTTGCTTTGTAGCTTGATAACGAAACAAACAATATTTGTCTGGTAGTTGTCAAGTATTGCGCAACAGTCAACAGCGTTGTGTGGCACGGAATGCTGTTGCATGCATGAATATGAGCCCCTAAAATGCATTGTAACTAGTTGGGTTCTTCTTCAAACAGTAACGTGAGTAAACAGAAGACTAAATAATTAATTTGGTATGCCTCATGAAAGTCATAATACAAATTATAATTCGATCAAATCGTACTGTTATGTACTGTGCCTTAAAATTATAAACTGCATTTTGAGCGATATCTAACCCGTTGGAGTTACACGTGCATTATGCATATTTGTGAATCAAAGTTAGTAAAGTGTTAATAAAAGTAATTATTAGAAGTACTTGTAGTGTTAATTTCAAAGGGACTCCCGGGGCGCCATCCTAACAGTACACATTCTTAAAATATCGGCAACGCACTTGTGACTGCTCCGGTGTCCATGGGCAGCGCTGATTGTTTACCTTGTATACACGGTTGACCGCTAATCTATAAAAAAGGCCGCATATATTCTCTATAGATAAGTACCTATGGTCATGTGCACGAACACGTAAAGTAGGTATTTATCAATGCATTTCTTATCAGTTAAAATCCGGTATAATAAGCTAACGAGGTGGATGTATCTACTTATAACCAGTAACGAGTTTGTGATCGGTTTGTCCATTTAAAAGTAAACAGTGGTTGCAAATAATCAATTATTTATTTATCAGAGTGGAGTTTAATTGCTGTCACTAATTAATTATTATAATAGTTATGAACACTTGTTTGTCACATGACCGATACATAATAATAATATTAGGAAATTCTTTCACTAGGATTTCCGTGTTTAATTTGGTATTTAGCGGTTGAAATTCGAATTAATTGAATTTTAATTTCAATGGTTTTTAATGATTTCTTCTGCCCTGTGTGAGGCGGGAGGGAGTATCAGAATCTTTCTGACTTAAATCTATTCTGTTCCTACTCCAACTTCGAGCCGGAGTCCCGGTAAACTGCCAGGTCTTCCATAGCTTTGGGAAATTGATAGTTTCTGAAATTTGAACAAGCCTGCCACAGCTTTCCGAAACCACTGCAACTCCTGTAAGACAGGATCTATAGTAGATACAAGCATGAAAACACTGGAACACTGAAGTTCGGCTCGTCCCAGGGACATGAATAACTGTCTTGGTTCCCGAAACGAAGTGAATCAGAAGATATTATAAGAGGAGAAGAAAAAAATGATAGTTTCCACTTCCCTCTGTGAGGAGTTTGAACTTATTTAATGGTATAATGGTCTTGAAATGCTTGTCTTGTGTATTGTGATACATACACATTTCACACTCAGAATAATAGTTTGTCGACTTAATTGCAGGAATTAAAGTCATGACACATTGCCTGGCAGCCCGTACCCAGCCACGTCTTCAACCGGGTAGTCAATCCTATACTCTGATACACATGAATACGCTTATACTTATATACAGGATGTAAATGCTTAAAAGGTAATCTCGAATAATTATATCTAATGCCTGTTGTAATTGAAATAAACTTTTTTATTTTATTTTATTATTTATTTGACATCGACAGATGATAATCAAAAACAAGTTTTATTTTTATAAAAGTAAAGACTGAAATGTTTCTTCCGTGTAAATAATGTTGTAAAAAAATCACCACGCACTAGTCTTAAACAGATAATTATTACAAAATATCTGTGTGAGTGACCCTCGGAAACAAGATAATGTAACAATACATGGGTCCCGGCGCAGGCGCCCAGCACAACAGGCTTTTGTTTCAGCGTCCAATACACCGCGCCTCGACTTAGCCCAACTTTTACAGCTCCATTCACTGCCACAATAGTTTAATATTGCTGTAACCCCACAGTGCGAGGATTAGACAACTATTCAATGTATTGTTTCTATTCAGGTATATTTACAAATCTTGGGAATTTTGGTTCACTTTATGACCATAAACTGACGGCGCCGATATGACTCGGTAAAACTTCTTTTTTTTTAAATATTACCTATTCATGTATCTCCACTCCGTGGTATTTAATTTACTTACAATTACCAAATAAGGCGTTGTATTTTGAAATGGCAATGATACATTGTTACTCCCTAAATATTATCTGAAATTATGTTTAACTAGTTTCTGCCCGCGGCTTCGCTCGCGTTTCTGTGGGATAACAAGTGCCCTATGTGTTATCTAGACTATAATTTATCACTGTTATAAAGTTCATCCCGATCCCTTCAGCTGTTTTGACGTGATTGAGTACCAAATATAAACAAGAACTCCCATACTTACGTATTTATAATATCAGTTTTTTAAGGGAGGTAAGTCATCGAATGACTGCTCCTAAAAACCACCCCGTTACTTCTCGTGCACGTCGAGCCGGAGCCCCGGTAACCCGTTAGGTTCTCCGCGACATTTATAATATCAGTAAGATAAGATTTCAGGTTCCTACGACCAATGACTTCAGCTGTGCATTACTCTGCCTACCCCTTTTCGAACTTACAACGTAAGAAATTAAAACATGAGTCTTTATTACTTCCTTGGTCCGGCGCCGGCCGGCGGTACAATCAATCAATAATTATTATTGCAAATAAATAATCTTTGTCTTTGTCTTATTTATTAACTAGCTTGTTTCAAACAGCAATATTAGTAATGACCTAAAATGACACTCATTAGTCAACAAGTTAAACATTAACAAAGCCAGTTAAAAAAATAGTCTCATTATTAAACAAATCATATTGTTTTTATAATAACTATCGTGAGACATACTAAATTAAGTAAAAACGCGGGTTACTCACGTGAATATACTGAGAAAAGCTCTACTAGTTTCGAACCACAGAGGGGTTCTTCCTCATGAGCAGCGTGCGCGGTCGCGGCGACGTCGCGCAGCTCACTCTAAATCATATTGTAATTATATTGTACAGCGGCATTAGGTGCCGTAATGTGCACCTCTGCCTACCCCTTCGAGGATAAAAGGCGTGTGATGTGATGTTATGTCATAATATAATTAAGATTTTAAATGACATATAGTGATCAGATTGGCGATATATTAAAGAAGGGCCAAATTAAAAGTATTTACCCTTAACCGACGAGCATGCATGAAAAGATTGAGGACTGTTGATGAAACGAAAGAGGTATGTAGGAATCGTAGCAATTGGCGTTCCGTAGTGTCTGCCTACCCCCATAGGAGATAAGCGTGAAGTTATGTATGTATGTATGTATGTTTAAATGATAAAGACTCATTACGAAATAATAAATTATCGTGAAGGTAAGCATATTAGGTTCTTATGAATGTCAAAAATATAACCCAATGTTATGTTATGAGATCAGAGTTCACGATTGTCTGAGATTTTCAAACTACAGACGTCCTGGGGCCGGCGCCGGCGCCATCACTTCTTCATTCAAATTGTCATATTTCTTCAATCGATTTTGAATTTTATTACAATACCCTAAGGTCGAAAATCTATTACAGAAATTAAGAGTAGAAATGATGTAGCTTAGTTTGCAAGTGTCTGTACATGCACGTATGTACCTACTACATTATAATTTACGTTTAGTTCGTACCTGTAAGTATTAAACGACCTTTTATGTTTTAACATACAAATCATTAGTTCTTAATATATTAAACATTGAGACAATCAATTGTACCAATTTACTGAAACATACTATACCAACATACAAAAAAATTATCTCAAAAAGATAATTCACAAGTTCGATGTGAATGAACTAAACCCGGCGCTTGCGCACAACCACCTTCTCCCATATGTTTATATTTTTCATGTTACCCACATATGATAGACTCAGGTGTTTCCTTCTAATATACCCACTGTTAGACCGAATAGACCCGCCGTCTATGTAACACAAGTAGACTATGAAATTAATTTGAATCGTTTCTCAAAGTTTAGACAAACCTATTTACGTAGGGAATGAAATATTTCGCGTAACCATACATTTTGACATTCGTTATTTTTGTTTATAAAGCATAACAAACAGTTATCAAGAAACGTATATATTTTACTAAGACAGTGCGAACCGCCATTATTTCGGTAAACCCTTCTATTGTGTTACTGCTGTACCTGCAAGTGGGCGGAGTTTGCACCCAAATTACACTGCTGCGTCTGCGCATAAAAGGGCGATAATTCGTAATTTCGTCGTAGTGCCACAGTGAGCTTCCTTGCAATCTGTGGACCACGGAGAGTGCTGCTTGACTTCTGTTCGAGCCGTGGCCATCGTCCATCACCAATCCTTCTCATTTCAACTTCCATCAAATTTAAAAATTCAAAGGACTTTTTGAACAAGAAATTTGATATCTTCCTGTGACGTGTGACGTGGTGTTTTATAGGCTAATATTTAGCTAAACATTGCAGTGTACCATAATATGTTCGCATTCCTTGTGCGCTACCATCTAGCTGCTGCATTGGAACTGGTAAGTTTATTATTTATTTGTTTATTTTTACGATCGAGCAAACAGATCTCCTGGTGGTAAGCAATTGCCTTCAAACATGGACATCCGCAACACTAGGGGTGCTACAAGTGCGTCACTGGTCTTTATAGTGTGACCCTCGACCGTGCATAATTCTTCCTTCAGGTCATGACAGAGTAAACTAAACTTTCAATAACTTCTTTAAACTGTTTATTATTGAAACATTGCCGTGTAATAATAATTTTATAGCCGTTTACTGATAAGAATATTAATCACTCATTTATCAACCATTAATCTAAATATATAGATATCTATCCAATTTCTATGTTAAATTTGCTACCTAGCGCATCTAGTAGCAAGCGCGATCGTTAAGCAAAGTGTCTCGAGTTCGATTCCTGGGTTAATGAAGCCTATCAAATCAAATCAAATTTATTCGCAAAAACATGTGTATACATACACACACACACAGGTGCATGTATGTAGGGTGATAAAAAATAGAACAGTTGCACTTAATACATGTTTACCACTTGTCATGGCACGCAAATTTTTTAGTAAGTACTAATCATATTATCATCGTTAAATATTTATAAATGTCAAATAAAATTGTATGTAGGTAGGTATGTCAAAATTAAAATTATAGATACAGTTATGTCATAATTAAATTCGTACAATATGTCACACTCATAGTAAGAATCACATAACCAATGAAACAATCACAACCAATAAAATAATCATAATTCATAAAATAATAGCCATGTCTTACTTCAATCAAATAACTGTGTCATTTAAGAATTCGATGACACTATAGTAGACCTTCTGTAATAAAAAAGTCTAAGCTTTCGCTTGATATGGTTGGCACCTAGTTCTCTCCATGATTGATTGGTAATTTGTTAAATATTATAGGTGCCATGCAAAATATATTTCTGCGCATAAGCGCGGTCTGCGCATAAGCGCGGTCTGCGCATAAGCGCGGTCTGCTGTTGCGCTGAGTTTTATCCTCAAGACGCGGAAATAAATGAGAATTATATTTAACAAATAAAACTATATCGAGAATGTATAACGATGGCATTGTGAGAATCCTATACTGTCCAAAGTATGGCCTGCAACTATCAGTAACTTTAAGTGTAAACATTGATCTCAGACATCTTTTCTGTGCCCTAAAAATGGTTGCCCATTCCACTGAATTGCCCCAAAAAATGATCCCGTAACGGAGAATAGATTCAGCTAATCCGTAGTACGCAATTAATAAATGTTCGTGTTTATATGTATTGTTTGAGACAATCTGTGTAAAGCATATGCTCTATTACTTAATTGTTTTGCAAGTTTTTCTATATGAGCTTTCCAGTTCAGATTTTGGTCTATTGTTAAACCCAAAAATTTTGTTGATGTTCCAGATTCAATAGTATTATTTTATATTTAATGTCCGAACTAATTGATGCATTCGGTCTTGTACTAAAGTGCATGATAACAGTTTTACTCAGATTAATTTTTAGGTTATTATTGTTTAACCAGTCTATGGCATTAATTAAACTACTATTTATGTCATTATTGTATTCTTCTCTTATTCTACATGGTATAGTTATAGTGCTATCATCCGCGAAAAGTGACATGGTATGTTCTATACTTTTCGGATTTCCTATTGTCATACATCGAGTTTGATATTAATATTTTTCCATCAAATAAAATAAAAACCCTAATTACTTTGCTTGACTTGAGAATCGAAACCGAGACATTTTTCCTTAAAATTAGCCTTTCGCTATAAGCACTTACCTACTATTAATAGCAAACGCTTGATTACTATATAATATTTTGTTTACAGTGTTTTAACATTGAAGAAAAACAAAAAGAGCTCATATCAATGATGGACAATGCGGAACAGAGGGAAGAAGATAACTGGGAGGATTCGTGGGAGCCGAGCGGCCCCTTTCCGGCGCGGGGTCCCACCCTCAATTGTAGCACGCCCTCTTTCGAGAGGGCTGTTACTGTAACCGCATTTAGAGCGGACGAAATAAGTATAATAAACACGGACGACGAGGATTATTACAATATCAGGGACTTGGTATCAATATCCAGTGATGAGACCACAGCAACGGACGACTATGTCCCTGACGATTTGTCGTTCTTTGGGGAATATTACATGGGGGTTCCTCTTCATGACTCCATGGAGAACGTTTCATCAATTGAAGAAATGGATTTCTCGGATTTTGTAGTAGTTCCGAATGATGACTATCCTGCTGACGTATCGGGTGAGATTGCACTTGATTACGTCGCTCCTGCTCAAGTATCTGTCTCCAAAATACGTGAGACTCCAGATTATGAGGTTCATGATGAGGTTGCACCAGAGAGCGACGCTCCTGCTGATGCATCGATCTCCGAAACATGTGAATCACCAGACTATGTGGTGGTTTATGAGCCATCGGTCTTTGATAGAACGGGATCCCTAGGTGTGACAGTAGTTCCTGATGAAGTGGCACCTAATAATAGTTCGTCTGTTGGCGCGACGACGTCTGATGACGTATCGTCTTTTGAGAAAATAGAAAGTTCAGATGTAAGTGTGGTTAGTAATGAGAAAAAATCCCCATTTAAAGAAGGAGCAGATAATGTAATTCAAAAAGATGAATCCTCATTTAAAGAGGAAGAAGAAAATTTAATTGACGAAGATGGGTCGTCATTTAAAGAAGAAATATCTTCATTCGGTGTAGAGAAATCCACAGTCGAAGAAGACGATTCATCATTCGCAGATGAATCATCTTTCGAAGACCAGTCATCATTCAAATACAACTCATCGTTCGAAGAATATAAATCGTCATTTGAAAGAATGAGATTTATGTATTGTTCTTTTCCCCCTGTGGCACCACCAGCACACACCTTGCCTATGCCGAAGTGGGTTACACAAAAATCTAAATCAAATGAACGTCCACAGCCGGTGGATGAAGATATATACAGAAACCCTCAGCCAGGACCCAGCCATGCCCCAGATTTTAATAATGCAGCAAATGGGTCTGCGTCATCCGCTGAAACAGATCAACGCCGTATACCTGTCGTGCCTAATGAACCACTCAGAAATTGGATTCGGGCCTCAATGCCAGAGGTAGCAATGCCAGCTAACGATATTTGGTTTCCAATGCCGCCGGAATCTCCTCGGGAACCATTAGATTTTAGAAACTCCGTGTGGTCCACGGACCGCTTACATGCGACGCTAGCACGCGAGCAATTACTTAACCACATACCTCAGCCAGACGAAGACCGAGTTGCCTTGTTCTTCCGACACTTCGAGCTCGGAACCGTACCACCCCCCTCAAAGTGGTAAGTAACATGATGAATGAGAATTCCACCGAGTAGTGCACAACTACTGGTACATGTTTGTGATCATGCGAGGTTAGTTTAAGACAAGTCAGTTTACGCTACGTATTTGGTCTGTTCTCTAAAACACATTTTTAATTTCAATTTCTATTTTAACTACAACCTTCAAGCTTTAATATTTATTTATACACATTTTATAATTCTTTTCATTCTTATTTCAATAATTGACAGTGCAGTTATTTTTAAAGTATTATTGAATACAGTATTGTTTACATTTAATTTGACGAAACTATCAGGACAGTCAAACAATTTGATAGTCGACCATTTTATTATTGCAATAGTTTTCTATACATGGTATAGAATGACAATGTTTCAATTAGGTACTGACAAAAGGAGAATACCGTTACGTTAGTATTAATATGATTTAGATTATGGTGATAATCTTAGTCATTTTTTGCAATAATATAATTTGAAAATACAAAAAAAAAATAAAAAAATAATAAAAGAGATACTGTTTTAGCTATCAGTAAAAAAAAAATTAAAAAAAAGAAAAACAAAAAAAAATATGTTTCACAGAATTTTGTCATTCTCGGCATTTGTTTTTAAAAAAATAATGACAGGTTTCATAGTTAAAGGCAAGACATTGTCCAATTGACATACTTATCATGTATACCGATTCCCGAATACTCAAACGCTACTCAACTTTAAGTGGCGCTTAAGTATAGTTCTGTATCTACAATTTTTTTGTAAAATGACAGAGATGACACGATATTTAAGTACAACTTAAAATTTAGTAACCTTTCAGTATTCGGGGACTGAATGCATCTGCTGACTCCCATTTGGGTGTTGCAAAAGTAATACGAAGCCGTAAAGAATGATTATTTTCTTTTTGACTCAATTTTAATGATAATTCAATAATTGACATTTGATTTTTTAGTTGACATGCACTTGAAATTATAAATTAATGATGTAATGAATTTGAAAATTAAAACATGAGTAATTTTATTTAAACGTTTTGTGTGTGACAATTGATTTATTATTTTAATATCAAGCGTCTGTCAACTTAGTTAAGATAAAAGCCTTAGTTAGTAGTCATGTTACTTGATTATTATTTGAATTTTGATTTTTTATTCGCATGATCCGTATACAGGGTTATGTGTAAAATTTATATTAAACAAACCATTGTCATTATTTTCCACAGCATATTCACGTGAGTTTGTATGTCCCACGAAAGTTTTAATATAAATATATTCACGTAACTTGACGAGGTAACTTGACGAGTTTCAAGCCTCGCTCGGGGCTCACAGTCATTAGTAGCAAATGACGAGAACGATCAATAAACTGGTCATGTTATCTCGTAAACCAGCTACGTGAATTAGTCGTTAATTATATGTCTTATAATATTTAATATTATTAATATGTCTATTATATGTTTAATATGTCTTATAAAAAATTCATCATTTGAATTAAAGTTCTCCAAAAGTTTATAAGAAAAAAAAAATATTATAATTTTAATTAAATTAATTTTAATATTTGTTCATGAATAATTGTTGATTATGTCAATTTTAATATAAAGATTGTGCTTTTTAAAATGAAAAGTAAAATTTAAGAATGTGATAATTTGAGATATTGTGTGTGTATTTATCATAATGTATTTATGTTTTACAAATCGTTGTTCTGTGTATTAAATGAATAGTGGAAGTATTTGTGTTTGTACATTACGAGTACTGCAAGTCGATTACAGATGTAGTTATATCGATATATCGATATAAATATTTTAACACCTCTACAGACATATATTACTTCTACTTATTCTAGAATTGTAAACTTTACAAATAGCCGTGTGTATTTTTTTATAATAAAATAATTAAGTAACAACCCAAACTTCTTGTTTTTTTTTTATATTATTTTCTTCTATGTTTTTGTTTGTCTTTATTTAATTGGTTTAAAACAGTGTTGACATAGTGAATAACTAAATAAATGGCAGTAAGCACTGTTCTGTTTCGGGTTTGATTCTCGAGTCGAGAAAATTAGATTTAATGTTTATTGGTTTAATACCATAAAGATGAAGATGGTTCCTGGTATACAGTACAGAAATACACTAATAGATGAAACTTACACTGTAACTAGCAAAAGTACGTGTCACATAATGCGGTTGCTCTGCCTACCCTCTCAGCAAATAAAGGAAGTAATGTTATGTTATTATTACTCATTACAAACCAATGTTATCCAGCAACACAGGACATACACTGAAAACTGATCAATCGAAATCTATACATTAAATAACAATAATCATAGAAAAGTCAAAACTGTACATTAAATATTCTTCAAAGAATACTTAGAACAGTCTTAATCTCTAAAACCTCACGAGACGGGCACTGTACGGGTTAAACCTATTAAAACATTCATTTCATAATAAGTAACCTAGGTACTGAATCAATTCTGACGACATTTGTTACCATACAATACCCCTTGGTGCAAATAAAATTCAAAAGCCCTAATTCTGCCAGAACTCGTTATTCTACGCTAATGAAGTCGCGGGCAACAGCTAGTCTTTAGTAATTGAAATATACTCCTAAACATAATGATAAATTTCTTTTTCTTTTTTTTTTTAGAAAAAGTTGCCCCGCACAAGGATTTTCTCCTGTGTCGTGGGTGCGTTTACAAACATACAAGTTCATATACACATGACACCCAGACCCACTTTGTATGATCCACAAATTGTTGTTCCGTGCGGGAATCGAACCCGCGACACGTAGCACGGCAGCCAGTTGCCCAGCCACCGCGCCAACCGTGCAGTCAATAAACAATCACTGCGTAGGACATCTCAACGAAACATAATGTTGAGATTAAATGAATTCTGTGAGAGAAAATGAGATGTTACATTTAATATGCAGGGTGCAACTTTTACAGGTTTTAGTCGGTTGCATTACCGTGTGCGGCAAGCGAATTTTATAAATGTTTGAATGCAGTTTTTTTTCTTTTCAAAAATAAAAGAAGATTTTCTTTGAGTAAAATTTTCTATCGTAAGTATTAACTCGTCGAGTACCGTCATTATAGACACAATTATAGAACAATAGGTTGCGGTCACCGGTGTCCTCGCGGTGTTTGACAGTTTAAGAGTACTTTCCCTTCAGATGGCATTACAAAATTCCACCCTGTATACAGGAGTCATTTATTATAAATCCCATTAAAGATCAGCTGAGTGAAACTTCTAACATATTAATAAGTCGGTACACGTAGGACCCACTTAGTTTTTTAGTCAAATTTCCGTGGTGCTTGGCGACTGGGCTTCACCCAGTTGTACAGTCTCTTCTTTGTGCCTTTAGGCTTAATTCATTCTGTCTCCTGCAGTAATTCACCGAGGGAAGTGGAAACTATAGTTTTTTCTTCTTCTCCTCTTATAATATCTTCTGATTCACTTCGTTGCGGGAACCATGACAGTTACTCATGTCCCTGGGACGCGCCGGACTTCAATGTTCCGGTGTTTTCATAGTTGTATCTACTGTAGATCCTGGCTTATAGGAGTTGCAGCGTTTTTGGGAGGTCGTGGCGGGCTTGTCCCAATTAAAAAAAAAAATAAGTCGGTACACGTAACAAATTAAACAGTTGCATAAAATGCCGTTTCTCAAAAACATATTCTAACTTGAAGGTACTAAGTAATAAATTATAATGCGTTGTCAAATGCTATGATAGTCTCTTCAGACAGAGCTCGTCTCCCGAGCGGCCGCGTCCTTCTACCGATATTAATTTTCTGATTGGTTTATTCATTACGTCTTTATATTCCTATTACTAATTACTTTTTAATTATTATAATATTTTAACTATAAGTGCAGTGAGGCGACTGTGTGCATAGTTTTTAGGTAACTTTTATATTGGTAAGTAACATAATATATTGATTTATACATATTTAATAATCTTCTCCTTGCTTCTTCTATCACAAGTTCATTGACGTATAATGTTATGATTTTCTCCTTCTATTCTTTTACCTTCTACCATCTCAAACTCCTTTTTCATTCATATCATTCCTCACACAATCGATTCATCTTTTTCTATAATTATATAGTTATCTAGATTAAAAATGCATGCTTGATTATGATCATGGCTAGAAAATAATTGGGGATAATTTAAATGTAAGGCGACAGCGGCCTGATAGTTTTCATCATACGTTGGTGTCATATGAATTTGTACAGGACTAGCTATTGTCACCTGCTTCGCCCACGGGTAGTCAAAAGTTGCCCGTGTGTTAAATTCCAGACTTATATCTACCTACTTCATTTATTTTTGTCACAAATTTATCCAGATATATTCAGCCATTTGGCTATGGTAAGTATCAAACATTCCCATTTTATTACTAAGTTGAGTATGATAAATATTATATTCACTCCTTTTTAGATTTATGCTATCGAACATTAATTATGATTCAATTAAATCTACCTGATGTCTTTATAAAAAACGAACACCTGATAGTTTTAATATGAATATTGTATTCGGCGGGTACAAGAAATACAACAAATAGTAATTTTTCATAGTTTTATGAGATTCAATATAAGTACCGACTGCACATTGTTTCGGTGGCTGGGCAACCGACTGCCGCGCAACGTGTAGCTGGTTCGATTCCCGCACAAATTTATTGATTCAGGTCTGGGTGTCTTGTATATGTGAAATTGTATTTGTTACCCACGACACAGATAAAAATCTTAGTGTCGATCAACGCTTTTTAATTTTTTTAATTATCTGCAATTATTTTATGTTAAATCTTTTAGTGAACTTTGAACACATCTACAATATCACTGTAAACTATTTGTTCTTTTTTAAAAGCTAGTATCAGTCAGTTATTGTTTTAAATAAAAGAAATGCATGTAACGGTTAACAATGTTCAATAAGGGAAGTAAAACTATGATTTCTTATGGACAGCTACAATTAGTCCATGCCGACAACTGTACAATCCCTTCAGTATTGTTCTTGCGTGGTATTTTCCAAAAAGGTTGCACGATTCGCAAACAAAAAGTATATGGACTTGACTATGAAATTCGCACTCGTAACTCTTACACGATTTTCAACTTTATCGCCCCGCAATAAAAGTGAACTTAAGGTTTTTTTATAGCGTTACCTGAAATTAACAATAGATCATAACGATAGTATAAGGTTCAGTGTTTCACTTTTGCTTTATTTGCTTACAAATTGTAGTATTTTGTACTGAAACAAATCATTTTTATTGGGGGCAGTTTGTTTTTATTTCCTTATTTATTTAGATCTAAATGGCGACGAGGATAAAATAAAAATGTTATTGTACACAGATTAAGTAATAGTGTTGTAGTAAAAATAATTACAATAGTTAGGGTAATTAGTAATTAGTTAGTTTAAACACCAATGACGACTTCATTGGTGTTTAACAACAGACAACATCCTATCAATTGTTTTTCAACTTTTATATTAAGGTAATAAGGTTGAATATATCCATTCAGTAATGTTATGTATAATAAAATTTGGGCTCAATGTGTAGCACAAAACATGTTTCTTATGACATCGCCCGTAAACTGTCACTTAACTAAAATATAGCCACTTAGACCAACCCCTCATCTGTACTGTTAGGTGTCACTTTTAGGTTGGTGGAAGCAAATATTACGTTGAACGTCATCTATCTTAAATTAAACTAAGGAGAGGTAGGTGAAAACAAGAATCAACCTTAAAGTTTATGATATATTTTTAGAAGTGTTTACATATGTTATATCAATATGTTTCAGTATCAACATGAGTATGAGTTACGGTGACAGCTCCGCGTGCTTGAGCGCCATCGGGTCCGGGCACGCGCTGCTGGAGCCCGTGTGCCCCGGCTACTCCACCAGGACCATGCGCCGCGCCTTCATCGTGTGGCTGCACACTGGCCAGCAGAACGACTTCCAACAAGTCTGCAACTACTACCACCGGCTTGAACTTCTTGTGAGTTCGTATTTATAATAATTGACTATGGTTCCTGGATTACTGCTTGGCACATTTATTTATGCGATCCACAATCGTGTAAACTCGCCTGCATCGTCATCTCTAGGGCTATGTTTAAATAACAAATACGATTTTTCGCCGATTTTTTTTTTATTTTTGATTCATGCAACTTAGGTAGCACGGGGAGTTCCTAATTCAGAATTCATATCCGAAATCTCTCACTGTTCCTAGTATTAAATAATTCTTATAAGATATCTTTATAATAATTTCCAGGAGAGTAAGATGCCAGAGGAGCAGCGTTCGATAAGCAGGCTACACGAGTACACCCTGGTGGTGGACACTCCACCGTCCACAATGTTCGTGAACAAGAACTTCCCGCAGCTGTACGCGCCGGGCAACGACGCCGAGCCGGACAATCTAAAGAGGCTACTGCAGATGAGAGCAGACGACTGTGTCTTTAACTACGACGGCTTCAACGCCATGAGGATAGAAGGAAACACTACAGGGTATGACATCTTCAAAGCCAGCAGCCTCGTCAGAAAGTACTGCAAAGATTACTCCAAACACCTTACAGCAGTGTATCCAGAATTCCAAGACTTCGTTAGAAAAACTGGAATGATAAACTCTGTCTGCAACCTCGTCATGTACATCAGGAACAAATATCTTAAAGATGAAATGGTTCTTGCTCGGGCGATGCCGAAGGATTATTCTTACTTGAATATTAAGGCTGGTCAGATGCCCATTGAGAAAATGAGTTTCAGAAGGTTGATCAGGGAGTGTAGGAAGCAGGAAATGTTACTCTTCAGCTCTGAATTCAACTCGCCGAAGAAGTCTGCCGTCAACCCGCAGGATCTCCCCACGAGCGTGCGCTCCTTCATTTACGGCATATAACATGGAGTTTGGTAATCTCATTGTTCATGCAATTCTTTAGTTATAAGTTTGTAAAGTCCTACTTCGTTAGGCGAGGGTAATGGGATATTTTTATTTTCTAACACAATTTTATATCACTGCAGTACCTGATTGATTACTACTACCTACTTGTTGTACTTATAAAAGCTAATTATGAATATCTAATCAGGCACTAAAGTGGAATTAAATTGTTAAGCCATTTTGTTTGGGATAATCATTAGTTGTAAGAAAAGCATTCACATTTTTATGGCCTATGTCATCAAAGTAGTACTTGTACACTATTATATAGTTCCCCTAATATATCTAAATTATTTATTTTCTAGTAAACAATAATGTCTATTACATAATATACGAGTTCATTAAGTATGTAATGTATGTATGTGCCTGTCATGTGGCACTTCTTATAATAAATCACAGATGGCGCTGTTCAGTAAATTATACTGGGTACTATTTTGATTATAATATTTTTAAGTTTATAAAAGTTATTATAAAAGTTTATTTTTATTTTTATAATTATTTTGACATGTGAACGAACATACTGTATGTCTATTTTGATAATTATTTTAAGAAACATATTTCTGTTATACGGACATTAAAATTGAATGTGACCAAAGAGTGTTTTCTTATCTAACTTACTAACTTGGCCATTATAACAAAATGGGTACTACACAATGGGTATATGGTAATAGGCTCACACACTATTACAAGGGGCTCATAACATAAATAGTGAAAAGTGGGTGTTACATTGTACAGTAGCATAATGAACACCTCTGCCTACCCCTTCGGGAATAAAAGGCGTGATGTTAGGTTATGTTATGTTATGGGTACTATACATATGCAATATTGCCCAATAATCATACAGTAACAATATTTATTAATACCGACATCTAAAAATAGATCCTAAGAACTTATAAATATTTTTGTACTAGCAACACTAAACTTGGAACTATAACGTTTTGCACTGGCAATAAAGCAGCTGTCACACAGGGAGGTGAACGTACGGACATTTGACATTTGTCATAAGTGATTGTCACAGTCACAGCTTCGTCATTCTTCGTACACACGTTAGCGTGGAACCTGTTTCAAAATGGAGGACGCGATGTCAACGCCAATAAATACAATATCGAGGGAGAACCTCACTGTTTTAATAGCTAATAACATGTTGAATAATTCAGTAGAATTCAACTCCGATTGTGATTCGGTAAGTTGTGTTTAATATTATTTTATATTTGGTGTTCGATCTTCTGTCATTTATATTTTGAAGTGTAACGAACTCCCCTGTCTATTGTTTTGATAAAAAAAGTGTGTTGATTTTTCTAGAGTCATATTGATAAGTCTTATCGTTTTGTTTTTTGTTTACAATGAGTCGATAGTTATTTGTTTTTAATTGAAATAGTATTAAATTATAGGTTAGGAAAGAATGTTCATGTTATTTTTTTCCATGTCCATTGTCCATGCGTATTGTTTTTTATTATTTTTTGTCCTCAACATCTTCGATAGATAGCAACTTACTACACTTTTATGACCTTTCCCAATGTCTGTTAATTCTATATCTGTATCAATTTTATTAAAATCAGTTTAGTAGGTTTATTTGTAAACGATATTTTGGCATTTCTTAATACATATTATTAGTGGAGTTAGAAGGCTTAAGTGATATGCTTTATATCCAAATACAAGTTTATGTCAAATACTTTAGGAACTTTAAGTTCACGTGTCAGTATAAAAGTCCGTATAGATATAGTCAGTCAGGTAGTTTCGACTGAATAGGCAGGCGGTCACTTTGTTTTGGATCTTGAATGGAATGTTATTTGTAAAATCACCACTGCTTTTAAAGTATGGTACCGTTTTCTTACGACATTAGGCTCTTAATATCAACTTTTAATATCAACTTTATGATTCGTTTTTCCGAGCGTAGTTGACAAGCCAATATGACCCTTATTTTCGTGTTAATAGAGTCCTAAATCGATATCCCAGTCGTAGTAAAATCGCAACTCCAAGGCTCGTGTATATACTCGTTGATACTGTTATCGTATATTCATATAGTGGACCTGCCACACACCACAACACGTGTGTGGAGTATATACCTCTAGGTACTAAATACTACTGAATACTATTATTACTTTATATTAGTGGTCTATCGATATTCCTGTTATTGAAATTGTACTACCGCATTAATCAGTAGCCGCAAACCGAATCTGTGATGTCCATGTGTATATGTGTATATGTGTGTTCATGTAGTGTGCACTAAATCTGTTAGCAATATATTATCTCGTGGAAGACAAAGCGAGTACATAAATAAGCGGCAGTGTATAAACTCTCAATGGACACAATCTCCCAACATCTATCACGATCTAAAAAACTACTAACAACATAAATTGTGACCGAAAAACTATCCTTTCCCAGATGGAGACAGATTCACCAATAAGAAAACCGAGCGCCCAACCAATCAGCAAAAAGCTATTCCATTCACCGATGGCTGAGAGCCCTAACGAACCCACATTCACTTGGAACGCGGACCGGACCAGAAAGGCGAAAAAGCGAAAACAAACACTCATACCCGATAACACTGAGAGGATCAAAAGAGCGTATGTGAAAGAGTGCGACAAGGACGGCTACAGCCCCGACACACGCGGGGGAATGAGAAAGAAAGTTTTAATCAGCCTCTTCCACAACAAGGAGTATTCTATGGATTTTGGCAGTTGAATTTAAAATTAGAATTGTTTAACGTATATTGGCAATCTGGTGTATTGTTAGTGGGCGGCCATGTTAAATATTTGCGCGGTTTATTGGTAAACCGATATTTTGATAAGGGTCACAGTAATTAATGAAATACCCTGAAGCCACTGTGGGCAGTCCAGTGTTCATATTACGGTACATAGTTTAAGTTAGTGCGGTTTTATGATACCTCGTGTATCGAGATCGAGACCTTATGTCTTATGAGCTTTAAGTAGTACGAGACTGAATTAATATTAATTGCTCGATTAATTTTAGTAAATCATTGGTCTTCCAGTAATTTAAGGGAATACAATACATATCGTAGACAATAATTAATTGGTAACACTATGTTTTACTACCGTACAATTATTGTATCGTAAGTAGATAGTAAGTAGGTTAATGCATGCGAAATATGATTATTTTATTTAGAAATTAATGTAATGTGCCATCAGATCAATTTACTGAATATAATAATGAATGTATTACTTCAATATAATATTATTAAATGAGATACTATCCTTTATTTATACCTGGACAGCAACACTAAAAGTTACGCTAAGCTGATGTGTCAAGCTACCCTTTTGAAAGAAATATGTTGACGTCATGTAATCAATACCTATTCCGACAACAAATTACAAAGTCTACCAATAGAGATTCGGAGAATGTCCTTATTAAACATTCCATTGATTCCAGAACATCGTAATTAGACCTGAATTATTTAATATACCTTAAAGAATAAGGACATTGAAGAGTTTCTTATAGTATAGTTATACTAGATAAAAACGTAAGCTACAGTTGATGACGTGTAAGTCAACTTAAGTAGGTCATGATTTTTTAGTGAGCAATTTCAGGTTTAAATTTCAAATTGCAGACACCATTCCGATCTAAAAACTACTGGTACCTATTAGGTCTCAAATCAAACTATGCGTTTGCTCAGCACTCGCTCTGAGCACATAATATGAGTTTATTTTAAGTGAAAAGTAATTAATCGACACCGCGTTAGGCGCTCTGATTGGTTGGTTTATTGGAGCTGGCCAATCAGAGCCAAGAACGCTTACGCGTCACGATTACTTTAACCGTAAACCTGTACTACGGTCTCAGTTCACTATCTACTATCAATACACAAAGCCATACAGATCACTATCTATCTCCACAGCCACCAGTATCTCAGCCTGTCAGCATTCCTCCATACAGTCAGTGAGTGTATCTGTCACTCCGGCGGAGTATCGCTTCATTTCCCTCGGGTCCTCCTTTATAAGCACTCCTCTTTCACGGCAGCTTATTACACTAATGTATAGACAATCAATGGATCTGTGGTTCTAATACCGCGGTATTTGATGCTTAGTATGGTAGGTGGTCGATTAAAATAATCGATTTTAACTCAAAATCGAATTTGGTTTTTCAGAGAAATGCCATACAACTACCTAATATCAAAAGTCGATCTTAAGCCAGTCATGTTGATTGATTGATTGAAATTGGCCGTAGGCACATAGAAAGACAGTAGTAAGATATGGAATATGATGCATAGTCATTGGTTAACATTCCTTTTACTTAGGAAGTTATTAGGACTGCCTCATTGGCCAAGTGGTCGCAAGTGCGACTGCCGGGCAAGGGGTCTCAGGTTCGATTCCCCGGTCGGGCAAAGTATGACTGAGTTTTAAAAAAAATCTCAGTAGTAGCACGGAGTCTGGAATTGTGCCCGCATTTGGCAATTGGCAATTCGCAATTGGCATATGGCAATAGGCTCACCCCCTATTACATGGGACTCATAACATAAATAGTGAAAAGTAGATGTTACTTTTGTATGCACCTTTGCTTACCCCTTCGGGGATAATAGGCGTGATGTTATATTTATTAGAACTTAATAAAATAATTACAAGTATAATGTGAATTTACCCATTTTGAGACCTCTGCCTACTCTTTTGTATATGGTATGGTGCTATGTCTGAATCTAGGTAGCTAGCTGGTAATACGAGTTCCAAGTAAACCCGATAATATTTTTGCTAGATAAGAAAATCAGAGCCTGGATTTCCAGTTCAGACAAAAGTGTTATTTCGATAATACAATATGGTCAGCAAGTTTATTTCGGAACACAGTCAGGAATAGACTCTCGGAATCAATACTGCCTATATCAAAACAGGATTACTGCAGTTCAGTCTACCTAACTTGATAAAGAGTTACATCCTACACCAACACTACCAACAGCTTATATAAGTAGCCATTGCTGACCAAAGGCCTCCGAAGAAGGTTTGAGCATTAATCACCACGGTTACTCAATGCAGGTTGACGAATTCAAACTTATAATTAGAAATTTTAAGTCCAGGTTTCCCCACGATGTGTTCCTTCACCATTTGTCATGATAAGTAGTTAGTCTATTGATAAACACTGAATGTGATTCTATCTGCCTCGTTGGCCGAGTGGTCGCAAGTGCGACTGCCGGGTCTCGGGTTCCATTCCCAGGTCGGGCAAAGTACTAATGAGTTAAAAAAAAATTTGGGAGCACGCAGTCTGGAATTGTGCCCGGTATTTGGCAATAAGCTCACCCCCTATTACATGGGACTCTTAACATAAAGAGTGAAAAGTGGGTGTTACATTGTACAATGGCATTAAGTGCCGTAATGTGTACTTCTGCCTACCCCTTGGGGGATAAAAGGTGTGATGTTATGTATGCATGTATGTAATTCTATTCGCAACGTTAATTCTGAAAATACATATCAGTAATGATCGTGCAATGTCTTTAGAAGGGAGTATTTTCTCATGTTTTTATACTACTAACAATTACGTTTGCACTACTTAAATATCATCATCATCAACATTTCTAACCACCACGACTACACCCCATGCGTAAGTTTCATACTTACAAAGACATTGCGAACCATACAATATATAAATCTCCCATGTATAATGGCAACGTTTTGCAAACCAATCAGAGATCCCACACCGCATTACGTAAGCAAATACATAAACCGCGAGATCATCTCCAACGAGTACAAACGCATCACTTTCCCATCTACATCCTTAGCTAACGTAACTTTTGTGAGATCAGCAGTACTGCAGTATACAGTGAGACCTGACGTCGGATCTTGGATCATAATACGGCAACTCTAGTATTGGCTAAATAATGTGACAAGCACGTTCGACAACTTGTTACAACTTGTCCCGAGAGCAACACTTCCAGTTTTTACTTTCAGGTTTTTAATGGTGGTTGGAGATTTTAAAATGGAGTTTGTTACAGGAGCGGGGGCTGGACGGGGGCTGGACGGAGGCTGTGCTGTTTAAACTCTTTGAAAGATTTTTTAAGATTTAACTTTGAAGATGTTGCGAAGTAAAACTAGGAAGATAACTTGGTTGTTAATTTCCTGTTTTGTTGTGTTACAGTGCAAGTTTGTTCATTAGTTCAGGTAACAGTTACATATGTACAGGTTTCGAGAAAATATTTGTTAAAATATAAAAGAAAGATATGGCATTCGAAGCACGGTGAGTCGTATGTCGTACATACGAGTCTCGCCTCTCTGACGTAGCCACAGAAAAATAGTATAATAATAATATCTATGGACGGAGCAATCATTAATTTATTTATTTCAATAATTTAGATATAGCATGGTTGTAAGGCCTACCTTTGACAGCACTGAGTTTGTTGCCAACCATCTGCTTCGCCACGAACGCCGCCATCTTGCCGGTTACTGCTTTACGCCTTCAACTGTAACAACAGAAACGTCAACATTAATTAACTATATCTAGTACATAGTATAATAATTAATAGACTATCGGAGATTACTAGCTCTACTGTCGATCAGTACCTACCATAGATATAAGGTATATTTTGTGTCCATATTTTTCTAGTTACCATTGTCAGCAGTGAATGTCTTCTGGCTGATGATGATGATTCGTTATCATTATCAAACCCAGAAGAAATAAAAATGACTGGTAAACCAATCTTTTTCTTCTAGCTTAGTAGCCAGTACAAAAATATTCACTGAAACTTAAAATAATCCTAAAGAAAAGAATTTAAAACCTTAATTAACGTTGCGAAGCTCATAATACTTTATCATCGCATAAAAGAAGCGGTTTATCGGATATTGGTTTGATTAAATAGCAATCAATCGAGCGCTGGATTACGCTGTAAGCGCTGGAAGCGATTTATTGTTGGGTCACAATTAAAACGCAGATATCTAGGTCCCGATGTACTTTTTGTTTTATTTAAATTTCAGCGGCTGAAGGATTGGGGACAGATGTTGATTAATTCATCGGAAATTTTAAGCTGATTTACCTAAATGCTAAGGACATTTAAACTGAAAATGTAGCCCAGTCAATACCTAAGATAAATAAATCAAATCCTTAATTAAAACATGAAGGAATGTTTTAAGTTATGCTATGGTAAATGAGTTCACTACATTTGACTAGTGATATTATTGATCCAGACTACAAAAATTAGTTAGTGTCCTAACAATGTATAAAAAGTTTTAATACTTTGTTAAAAAATGAGACTGCGAAGTAATCTCAGGCGCATTTTAGACTAAAGGCATAACAGCTCGATATTTAATATGAACTTAAATAAGTGCTTAGATAACTATTACAACAAATCTCTCGACACACCAGCACTAACTACAATAGGAACACAAATCAATGTCTTCAGGCAAAAAATTGTTGTTGCGATTCAGTTGAAACGTGGTGAAGTTTTTACTTAAGATTGTAAATCTGCCGGGAGGTTCGAAGGTTGGGACGCAGCCAGTCTGGAATTGTTGCCAGTTTCCTTAAACAGCCCTACACGCCGTTATTTATGATAACAATATTTATTGTTGTACCTACGTCTATTTCTGTAATTACTGCCTAGTGCCTAGTTGGTAAGTGGGAGAAATGGTTTCGGGGTTGATTCCCGAATTATGTAAAAGATTATTGGTTTTATTACGTACGCGCTCGCGCGGTACTAATGATTTATGTTTTATTTGTCATGTTCCTTCATGATTACATTTATTAATTTATTTCACACACTATTATAAAAGAAAAGTTTCCGATCGTTAATTAATCTTCAAAACTACATTATCGGTTCAGAAATATTTAATTTCCTGATCTACTTAGTTTACGAGAGTAAAATTATAAACGAGAAGAATCGATCCAGAAATATTGCATTGCAATTTCAAATTTCAAATATTGATATTGATTTAATAATAAACTCCGTACTATATGGTGAATAAGTGTGTGTAATACAAAGTGACTAAGCAAGTGAAAGGACACAAGATTTACAGTGTTAAAACACTATTTGACATAATTGAACTACGCGCGCACGCGCAACAATCAGCATAACAGTGTTACTGTGTTAAAATAATCAGTGATGTGGAAAAAACACAAAAAAAGGTTTAAGTAATCAATCCTTTGTTCTGAACAAACTAATTTGACCTTTGGACTTTTAATAGCTTATAGCTGCATACGGTTGCCTCTTTTCAA